AACAGGTCCTCGTAAGATTGGAACCCAGGACCTTTGTCGTCCTAGGCGTATTCATTACCACCAGGGTAAATTTGCGCGAGACACTAAATGTATTATGAACCAGTGTACCACCAGGAGTCCAATGGACAAAGATGTTTACGGGAAAAAAAGTCTAGTACCCGGTTGCAATACCCTTGCTATCGCAAGGATAAAATGTCATTTCAATCTTGTAGGTTTAGAAGACAAAGCAAAAAAATGAATCAATTATGTGCCTTAAAAGCAAACCAGGCATTTAAAAAAAGTGGTTTGGTAGCATAACACAAGCTATGCAAAGCACTCGAAATTATTTTAATAGAGTGAATTAAGTCATAAAATGATCAACGAATCCCTTTTGATTGAACCTAGCCTACTGTATTCAAAAGCCAAGGTAAAATCCATCATTGAAATGTTTCACAAGTTTCGAAATCTAAAAAGGGAGAGCCGGTTACCGAGCAATTAGCACAATGTTCTAATCACATTCAAAAAAAAGTTTTCTCGCTTTTGTTTCCAATTTTGAGTCGCTTCTTGCGCGTCAGTTAATGAGATAACTAAGAAAACGTATGAAACTTAATAGAAATCGCAATGATCGAGAACAATTGCCATCGGAAAACAAAAGCGGTTTTTTTTTCAAAACATTTTTTCTGACAAAGACTTGCCAAATGAGCCTTTCAAAATTAGTTTTTTTTCGAAACAGGATTTTTTCACTACTCAAAACTCAAAAAGTTTAAGACTGATCTTTTCGCCAGTGGAAAAATTTTTGAGAAAAAATTTGGTCGTTCGAATAACGATTTAAACAAATTTACCAACTAACGTGCCTCAATTGATAAAGTAGATGCATTTTAACTAGTATACGAAAAATTCATTAAAAAACCCTACCCTGCCCAGGTTCGAACCCTCTCATTTTGCTGCTGGTCTCCTTTCTTACCTCTACGCTACAAAACCATGATACCTTGAATCTAAAGTGCTATTTGTAATATAATAGTCTGTGTTAAAATCCATAGAATTGGCTGTACTTAAAAGCTGGATCATAATGAACACTTTCAAAATGAACACATTTTGTCGCAACAATTGCATCGCAACAATATTTGCAACTTAGGTTGGAAAAAAAGAAAGTTCATACAATAACACAAGCTATGCTTGTATATTAAGCATTTAATTGATTCAGCATCATTCGAAAGCTTTAGTTTTTAATGAGATAAGTAACAAAAAGCGAAAAGACCAACATCAAGCTTGCAGTAAAAAATTTCTCTGATGCCGCAGATTAAATCAAACAATTAGTTTGCTGGTTTCAAGATTAGCTCAATTAGCAAACATTACATCGCTACACTAATACATATGCACTGAAAACCCATTGATCTACAGGCCCAGATCAAATGATTCCGATTTGTCAAAAAGTTCTTATAGAAAAACAGATCACAGAATAACTCAATGATGAGGATAATTTTTCTCAACTCAATCTGCACCTCGGAAACATTGATCAACCAGAGACTCACTGAAATATTTAATAAAGACAACTCGGAACAAAGTAAATTAAACAACAAATGTGTAGCTCTTTTGGATTTATCGAGGGCGTTTACCGCTATTCATGACGAACTTCTGATAATAAAACTTCATTCAATGGGTTCCGACAAAAATAGACTTGAATTATTGGACAACTTTAAAAAACTAACAAAAGGTAATTTATCTGATTAACTAACAATTAAGGTACTCCTTTTTCAAGGTATATGATAAAATGAAACCTAGTTCTAATTCTCAGATTGTTCGATACGAAGATGATACTATTTTGCTCTCAGCTTGAAACGATAGAGAATCCTACATAAACAAAATAATAAGAGGCGGCCTGCTTTCTAAGTTTCTATTATTTAGAGAAACCACCAATTCGAAAATCATGCGCTCCAGATTGATGGACACCCAACTAATTGAAAAAGAAAAGAAAAAAAGTTGGTTGTCATTATTTATAACGCTTTAACATATCAAGAGTATGTTACAGGATACATCTCTGACAGAATGAAAACAACGCTTTTCAATGCTTTCGTACTCAGCCTGTTACAGTATTCGGCTGATATTCTTCCTAACGTAGATCAAAACATTCTCGTGACTCGAGAACAGTCACTAAGATGGGAGACCATCACAGTCAACCATTAGAGAATGCTTCGAAAAACGCAAACTCATTCCTGCAGCCGAGATAAAAGGAATATTGGCATACTATACTGCAACTAAAATTTTTTCTCGATTACAAAATATATACATACACACCAACGGATTGGAGAGGGGGGGGGGGGTTTGGTTGGTTGGTCGCGGATGCTTTTTCTCAAGGATTCGACCCTCTGCCGACCCAAAGGTTCCCCCTTTGTACTATTATGAATTATGATATATCCATTTTTGGCTGACTGACCCTAAAAGTTTTATAAGGCTCATAAATATACTAATTTTGAGGGGGCAGCACGCGCCAAAAAAACGCAATTTTTTGGTCAAAATTTTCCAAAAAACGCATGTTTTGCCTGTTTTTTTTAACAGTTTGCCTGCGCGGCAGCAAATTTGGTCAAAATGTGGTCTTTATAGTGATTTAGGAGAGCTCAAAAAAACATTTTGGTCAGCCGAAAAAAAGGTCAACCAAACTTTAGATTTTTTCTTGAAAATCCTCCCCCGCGAAAATCTTAGAACCACCCCTGTACATGCAGCAGACATTTTCCGCCTAAACAATAACTGCACTATAATCTACGGAAGGTCTAAGTCGACCGTACTCATTTATGTTCAACAAAAAACTTAATTCTCATTTGTGTTCAAGAAAGTTTTTTTTTTGCATTGAACCATCGCACAGACGGGTACTAGTTAACATTGTGAAAATAGGCAACCTTCCTTCTAATATAAAACCGTTTAAATAAGTATCTGAATAGCTCATATCATAGCTTGAAAAATTAAAAGGAAAGAAAATAATGCTTTTTTCTTTTCAATATTAGTTCAATCAACATGTTCAAAGGGAATGTCCAAATTTGAAGTAGTATCCATTTTAATTGAAGTAAATTCTCCAATCTTAAAAAACCACCACAGAGGTTTTTATTGTTCACTCTTCATACTGCCACCCCCTTTAACCAATAACCCAAATCCCTAAACAAACAATTCCCGAAATCCAATTAATGACAACCTGCCACGCGTCCCACCGCTCATGTATCGCGTCTCAAGCACACCACAGGTAGATTTTAACTCCAACCAAACCCCGCGCAGCGATGATTGTTTTAACTCGAACCTTTCAAAATCTTTCACAGAGACGACACAGAGACGAAGTTGCACTTCGCGCGCGCACACACACACACACACACACACACACACACACACACAAATATGACCGATAACGCTACTGGGAAAAACTGAATGATTAAAACTTTGAGTCTACAAAAATTCTTAAGTGCGCACACCAATTATGAGTCTACATAATTTTTAAGTGACGGAAGCCAATTATGAAGCATTAGCAGTACCAGTCTATTTAAAAAGAAATTTACCAACTAACGTGCCTCAATTTATAGAGCAGTCTATGGAGCAGTAATAACATGAAAAAAATTTAATGTAACAAAAATAAAATGAATATTTTTTTAAATTGAGATTTTTTGTGAAATCATACACCCACACGCCATATAAAGTTAAAGTGATAAATTTCACTCCTGGTAACAAATCAATTATGGCCAATAAGCTTCCTTCAACCAATTTGGAAGGATTTCTAAGACGGATTAAATCTCCGCTTACGCGTTAATTGTCCCAATTATATCGCGCGTTAATTGTCCCAAAGTAGCAATTTTTAAACCCCATAACTTTACCAAAAATGATCACAGGTGAAATATCTTTCCAAGTTTAAGCTCAGGACAAAAATACCTTTTGAACGATATACAAAAAACGTCAAAAATGGCTAGTTAAAAAGTCAAAGTTTGTCTTAAGAAAAAACCACCCCGAGCACAAATATTCTGTTACTTTCGTTACTAAAGTCGAAACAATAATAGTCTGTGTTAATATCCTTAGGCTGTACTTAATAACTATTTATTGGTAAAAATGAACAATTTCACAAAGAACACATTTTATCGCAACAATATTTGCGTCGCAACAAAATTTGCGACTTAGGTTGGAAGAAAAAAGATAGTTCATAATATAACACAAGCTTAGCTTGTGCAAATACCCTTCAATTCAATTGAAATGGTATTTTCGGCAAAGCCCCCGAAATTGCAGCCTTATTATGTGAACACCAAATCCATCTTGCAGTCTTCCAAGAAACTAAGCTGAAACCAAGTAACCCAAATCCCTCAATTAGCCCGAATTACACGCTACTTTAGAAAAGCCGTATACTATAAGGAGAGGGCCTGCTGATAGCTGTTTACAACTCTTTCATGTACGAGGAAATAGGTTGTAGCGAAGACTGAACTCTGGAGGGTCAAAGCATTAGAACAAAGGCCACCAACCAAAGACTCGAATGTCTCTTTTCCCCAACGCACCAGCTGCCCTAAAGATTATAAGCCGTCTCTCACACAGTTCCTACTTGAGAACAAATGTTTAAGGCTGGGAAACGTAAATGCCGATTCCCCTCTTTGGAATTCTAACATTCCTGAGGATGCCACAGGTTGTATTTTTACTGATGAAATCGTCAACTCAAGTTTTACCCCATAAAACGATTTTAACTAAACCAGGCTTCCCTACGACAATACAACTTCCCACTTTGAGATCAGCTCATCTACTTATCTTAATCCAATTTCCTTTGACCGAGAAAATCCCTTTCTCTCTTAAAAAGACCAACATTTATTTTTTAAATTATTATTATTTTTTAAATTGATGGGCAATTAACAACAAAAACAGGAGAATTTAGTGATTTTAAAGCTGGGTAAGCCTCGTTATATATGCCATAACAACTTCAGTGCACAACTTGACTCTCCTCTCCCAATGTCTCTCTGCGTGTGATGTGAGTGTTTGTGCAGTGGAATGCAGTGTGTTGCATTGCATACCTGGAATGTGTCTTGCAATCCAGCCGTCTGGCCTGTAGTTCTGCTCCACCACCACCCCCACCACACTTCTGCCCATGTCCACCGCATACTCCACCTCCGTCCGCATCTCGGGACTCTCCTTGTATCTAAAACACACACACACACATACACACATCAACAAAAATCAAACAGTCACTCGTCAATTTCACTCCTTTTTCCAAATGTTACAAAACTATTTTCCACGAATTGAGAGACACAAAAGGTTTTTAATTAGTTTACAACGATCACCAATATAAAACTGCAAGTATTTTCAATCAACCTGGTACCCAAACGCCATTTGATATAAAAACAACGTTATCTAAGTCTCTCCTTCCGGCATTATCCTTTAGTGTTGTTGATACAAGCAAAGTAAATTAAAAAGAGGGAGCTGTCAATTTTGACCAACTTTTGCATGCAGATTTCAAACTTCGGGCCAACTTGATACTAAAAAAGTACCAACTTTCAAAATTAATTTAACATTTTTCAATCTTTGGCGACTGCTAATCCTCTTCGTGACATCATGTAATCAATCGAACAAATACATGTTGGCTTTTGAATTAAAGCCTTCCAAAACTACATATTTAAACTAGCTTCTTCCTGTAACTGATGTGAACTTATAGCATCCTGTGTTTTGAGTACTATAGTGTGTGTGTATGTGTGTCGTTACCTGAGTGAGGCGCAGATGAGGAGGCAGGAGGCAGACTCTATCATGGTGGAGATGGAGTCTATGTAACTGGAGCAGCTGCTCTCGTCCAGAGTCACCGCCTGTCTCCCACAACCCAACAATTTACCCTACAACACATAAACTACACAATGTAAACAAACACACTATTTATTGCAGCTTCCCATCATTTTCCAGTAATGAGTATTGGCAACTTTTGCAAAAAGTAATTTTCAAAAAAGAATGTTCTAATAGTTTGAAGAGCCAAAAAAATGAAAAACGAACTTCTCAACCACCTGCTTTGGAACGTCAGAAAAAACATCAGAAATGAACTGAACGGCCCAGAAATAATTCAGATTCAGATAAATAGTTCATATTCAGAGTGAATAATATTATAAGTGAAGAACATTAATAGGCACAAACATTGTCGAAGTGTTCCTCCAATTGAGTATTTTATTTTACCTTGATTCGTTTAACTGCGAGGTTGTCGTGTGCCTCCACACTAATGTACACATGTGACCCTCCCATGTCCCCCCTGAGGGAGTCACCAGTACTGGGCGCAGAGGAGACTGCAGAGCCGCCCATAGAGTGCAGACCCTGCTGTTGTTGTAGACCACTTAGAGGCGGCACTATGCCCATGCCCATTGCACTATCTTCTTCCACGTGTTCTCCACTCCCAGACACATTCATGCCTAAACCAAAACCAACCCCATCCAATCTGCTCCGCAGAATAATACCAGCGGCTTATGATGCATACGTGGCATCTGGGCCATACGTGCTTTATGTTCAATTCTAGACAAATGAAAATAGGCACAAGCCACACCTATCTCCAAAATTACCCTTAGAGGCGAAGGGTCACTTGCAATTCAAAAAAATTCCAAATTTCAGAAGATAAGAAAAGGAAGTTTTGTTGAAGAAATCAAAGGCAAAAAGAAAAACTTAACTGAATTCTTAAAAACCAATTACCTAAAACATGAGAAGGATTAGGGCTACTCAAACTCCAGTTACTGCTTCCTCATAAAAATTAGATTAAAACGATTAAAAAAAGTTTTAAGTAAAAATTGAGATCCTAAAGCTCCTAAACGAAACAATAAACGTTACTCAAAATCTTGCAACCAAACTACCTGCATGTAATTCATGAAAAACTGGTGATAAAAAAATTGATTGGATTTTGATGATGTGATTGGATTTTTTTCGATAAAATTCTTTTTCGAACTTTTTTATAGACTACTCGAAAACTAGAAGATTTTGGAATGACTTTTTTCCCACCGAAATCGCAACCTCACATGGGGTGTCCAGCAGCATTTAACCCATGGGTTCAATTTTAATTTTTATTTTAGCTCAAATATATCTAACAATTTCCCAATTTTAAATTTAAAAAGTTTTTGAAATTATGGTAAAGCGAAATAAGAACTATTTTAAATTTGAACGGGCAGCAAATGAAGCGTTTTCAAATTGTTATGCAACTTGCGCGCTCTATACCGCATCCAGTATCTTTTGCAAAAAGATACCGAGAGTAAATTAGCACAAAAACTTCTTGTGAGTGTCCTACAAATTTCAGTCAAGTCAAAGATGAAAAAAAACTTCCTGGAAATTTATGTCTTTTTTTTTCAAAAAAATTATGAACATAAAAAAAATACGATGTTCCCTCTCCTTCAATCAACTTAACATAAAATTGCGCGTCCCTAAAACACATAAATTTCTTTCTTCTTTTCTAAGAAAATTTTAGCACGTATAAAAACCAGAAACTGTATTTATCCTCTTGAAAAGGAAAAAAATCATATTCAAAAACTATCAATCAAGGTTACTGAAATTTAAAAAAAAACCGACAATTAGGACGATAAAAACAGAGACGAAATCTATAAAGCCCACAAAAAATCAATGTACATCCAGAACTTTCTTCAACTTAAGACCCAGTATTACTTCAGCAGCTCCAGACCCAGAACTAGAGCTGCTGAACGCGCAACACCTGGCTAGAACTGGAGATGTTAAAAATGGAGATATTGTGAACACAGTGTTTAACGGGATAAAGTCTTCTACTCGATTGTAATTTTCTTGCTTATCGGAAGAGTAAAAAGCGACCAATATGAAATAACGATCAATACATTCAAAGACGCAAAGCATTACTTTCCAGTAAACTACTTCTTTCATGTTAAACAGCTGACTAACCCCCAGAGGATAAAAAGGAGGATTGTGCAGTGCCTGGTAATACCCTGGACGAGTTGGGATCTCCACTCCCTGCCCCTCCGTCCCCGCTGGATGAACTGGAATGTCCAAAGTGTAGCACCCACAGGATTCCTGAAAAGAACCAATTGAGCAAAAGACAGTTCGAAAAGTGTCAATTAACTCATGTAAACCGAAAAAGAAACATATTGACTTTTTTTGAGGAAAATTCCAATTTTCGAATGTCGGTGAAAAAAGTACATCACCTTGAAGCTCTTCTTCGAATTTCGAAAATTTTTAATGGTTCCTCTTTTTTATATAACTAACTCAACTAGAGAAAACTGCACTATAATGCTGTTTTATTATTCACTGGGAAAATCATTCACGTTTTTTTGCGCCATTTGCTCATTCCTAATTTGAGAACGTAATTTCTCTTATTTTCAGCATATGAATTTGAATTGAATTCAAAAAAGCGAAAACTAAACCGCGAGTTGAAATTTGCGCTCATTGAACTTTTAGACTTTTTCTTGAAATCAAACCAAAAAGCGATACCGCCTGATTTAGTGTTTTCACTTCTCCGTTCATAGGCAAAAAATTAAAAATGGAGCTGAATGGTAGCTCCAACGTACTCTCTGATACTTCAGAAATGACTAACCAAAAATTGTTATGTTAAGATGGCGCAAGTTTTCTGGGTTGAGCCGAGCCAAACACTAAACACTTAATTTTAATTATTAAAATCAGTTTCCGTTTCTGTAGCTAATAGTTATATTCAAGTATGCAATAGCTTTTGCTCTTCCTTAATTGTTAATAGTTGATTTTAATTTCATCAAGATTCAATAGGGTTTAATCTGATACCGAATATAAAATTATTCTACTTCATGTTTATCAAATCACGACACAATGAACGTAACATTAAGCAACAGAGGCAACGCGGAGCTTAGTTTCGAGACAAAACAAGAAAGACGCTAAGACGAACAGAAATCGAAAATGTCGAAAAAACCAGATCTATCAAAATGAATAAGACTAGTTTTGAAACAAAAACGTGCCTAGACAATATAGTGTAGAATTAGCAACAAAAAACAATTTATCAAGCGGTAACAAAGCCGAAAATGCTTTAGCAGAAACCATTTTGGCCGAAAAAAATTATAGAAAAGTATTGAGTTTCCCCTATCCTCAAAAAACACACACACACAAAACTCGTCGAGCGACGGACTAAGAGGCCACTAAGCCGATATAGTATAGAACGAAACCTATTTCGTCAAAAAAAAAGGAATAAAAATAAAAAACCGGAAAAAAAAACAAAAAACATTTACTTCTAATAAAATTTAATAAGTCCCCCCTCACCCTCATATCAACACACGCACACACACAAATTTCGCTAGTCGAACGGCGCAAAATAAGGCTACTAAGTCGATATAATATAGTCCGAAATCTATTACGCAAAAAACAAAATAATAAAAAAGCCGAAAAAAAAATCAAAAAAATTAAAGACTAATAAAAAATTGAAGACTTAAGTGAAACACACACACACACACAAAGAAAAATTTTTCACTCGTCGAATGATATAAAGAAATATGAGACCATAAAGCCGAAAAAATAGAATTTTAACAAATCGAGTTAGTAAAATTGCAACCAACATTGAAAGATAATTTCGAATAGGAGAGAAAATTTCGAATAGGACAAAAAATATATCTGAGCGGTAAATTTGTTGCTAACAGGCTTCCAGGAAATGAGTGCACATGAAAAGAGTCCTGTGAACAAAAGTTGTTCACGGGAAAAAGTGTAGTACCCGATCGCAAGGTTAATAACATATACACGTAACACAAGATGATACATACCAACTACAATTACTGTTTGTTCCATTTTTTCCAGAAAACGACTGGGGTGAATCGATTTAATTTAGGATTTTGGCATCTCTAATTTTTTATTCTCTACGCATCCACTCAACAACTTTCGAGTGTAACCGCAAATGGTCAGAAGTCGCACAACACAATCAAAAAATTTTTCGCTACATACATATTTTTTTTGTGTATCATCATGAGAAATAGTTGCCATATCTAGATGACAATTCTAACTTGCCGCCTTCAATATAACTCGCTTCGTCGATATCTAACGGCACTCAAAGACACGCAACGTAGTCCATTAAAACATAGCCATCTGACAGTTGAAAAGAATAATGAACTTTTGAATTTCGAAAAAAGATGACCTTAAAGCTCTTTGCATTTGTAGAACAATTTATGATATACACTTTTTTGTTAGCGATAACCCAATTTGAGAAAATTGGATCAATAGATAAAATTTTTAATTTGCTGGAAAATCTGATAATTAATTTCCATGTTCGAATTTAGATGCCGATCACGCGTGACCTTTACACTTCTGCTGTTCGATAATGAAGTTTGCCTTCCTTTTAACAATAGAAATGTACTGAACTTGTGAGAACTCACAAGTCAAATCGCAGAAAATCAAAATTGAACGTGAACAAACTTCAAGACTTTTTCCTGAAAAAAAATCACCAAGACCTATATATGAGTACTCACTACGTTCATTACTCTTTAAAACTATAGGTTTAGAGGGCCAACTAGGAAGGCAACCGGTGACCAGTCAATGAGCAGAATGGTATAAGAGCAGAAAACAGACAAAAATTGGTTTATGCGGGCTAATCGATAAAAATAATTACTGGAATCGTCCGTCAATCCTACCAAGAAAAAGAATGAATTTTACATTGATTGAGTCATTATTTTTTTGAATTGTTTTAAAGTATTGCTCAAATTACTGAATTAATGCATAATCTATTCGTTTCTTGGGTAATATTGACAATTCTAATACTTGTTTTTAACGATTAGCTTATAAAAATTAGCATTTTTCTGCTCTTGGACCATTCTGCTTATTGCTCCTTCTCCGGAGCAACCCTAGCCAAAAACACTGTCGCCGTTTCTTATTTACTCGTTTAGTACAGAATGAGTGTTTATAATCATTTAAGACAACTCCCTCCAAGTGTCCTGGCCCCAAATACCTTTAACCATAGCAACTGTCCAATAGACTAATTTCAACCCATGTGGCAACAGCCGGTCAAAGTAGAGAAGCTGCTTAGACTCTGGTCAAGCTTGCATGCCGCTCCTGCATGACGTGTAACTATCACTATTACGGTAAATTGTATGAACTAAGTCAAGATGGTCAGTGATGAAAATGTTTTATTCGATGACAAATGTGTGGCACTGTCTGAAATAAAATTTGCTGTCCATTGTAATGCCAAGATAATTAAGTTCAGTTGTATCATCCAGAGAATGTCATTTAGCTCCCTTTTCACTAGACTATTGCTTACTTCAACTCGCTTTGCTGCAACGTACGTGTATTAATCCCAATTCATCATACGTGGATATGACCTGGAGTAAGTTCAGTACCACAACATGCAATTGGATAGCATTAAAAGAGTAGAACGCATTGCTGTGCTCTGCATGTGTGTGTACCTTGGGCGTGTTTCCGGAGGAGTGGGTTGACGGCGGAGGAGTGTGTGGTGAGGTGTGTGAGGAGGTGTGGCTCACACTGCATGGCCCACTTGTTGCTGGGGTGGAAGGAGAGAGACCAGAGACAGCGCAGACACATCACCCGCACCCTCTCATGTCTCCCGCCACTCAGCAGACGCACCAGCACTCCCAGACCACCTGTCCACAACAACCACATGACAGTAAAGAGCAAGTAGCACAGTTAAATTTTGTTCCCATTTTTTTAAATTCAGTTATAATTCATCGTATATTTTGACGAAATGAATTTGAATTGTTTTCGACGGACCCAGAAAACTATTTTGGTCGATCTTAACAATTGTCGACAGAATTTGGGACTAAACAGTTTCTTCGAACAAACTTGGGCCGAAGGTTTTATCAGTACTAATGTTTTTATTTTTGAATACTATCTTTAGCATCTTCAGCTAAAAAAGCTAAGGACAAAGCCAAAATTCCGACCGATATTTTTCTACCACAATTCGAACATAATTAACGCAACTTTTCTAACACAATTAACACAGAAAAAAAATTCGAAAAAAAAGTATATCGATCTAAATGAACAAAGCTAGAAAAAACAAGCCCAGTGAACAAAAGGTGAAATTAGCTTCGGAAGAAAACTTAACAAGCGGTAACAAAGCCAAAAAAAACCTGAGCGGAAAACTTTTGAGCCAAAGAAAAAAAAACGAAAACAAAGAAATTTTAACAAGTCGGCTTGGTAAAAATACAACTAACAAAAAAGCAAATTTCTTAGATCTTACAAAACTTGAAAACTCATTTGCCTGTTTCTTTAGCAATCAGTCAACTTTAATTTTAATGGCCTGGAACTTTTTGCTCAGTTTGAAACTTTTCGGATTTCGAATACTGGAACCATTTCAAAACAAGTATTTTACATATCCAATTACATTCTTGATAAAAATCACTAAAATAATTAGAACTAACCAATCGTGATCCATGAATCAAACGATAATTTGTAAAGCTATTTATAGTTTCAGCCGGCGAAGAATTATTTTAACACAAAAAGCAGTTGCTCTTCCTCTCCTCTAATCTCGCTAGAAAACCGGTGTACACTAGATCTATTGAGACTAGGAGATATAAGAGTGAGATTAAGATCGGCATTAGAAAGAGAAGTTGCACGAAACTATCCGGCCAAAAATAAGATAACGTGACGAATAGACAGTGTACCGTATCCGAAATTACTCCATGAGAAAGCCACCCCGGACTGAAAATCAATACTCAACTCTGATTAGCTGAAATTTATTTTAAAACTTTCGATCTCTCGATCATAAGGGACGCCACATTAAAAAAGCATAAATAAGCGGGTAGATCTCATGCAAATTAAATCGCCAGAATGATGGAAGTTGCACGCACACAAACCTGATAAAAGTGCAGTTACATTGGAAAAAGAGGACTATTATTAAAATGACCAACAGACAGCGTTGGAAAAGCGTCAACCAAAGAAAAACAAAGAAGATGGATTTTTTGAACATTTTCAACTTTCAAATGTCGGAGACCGTTTAAATGGAGCCGTTTAAATTCAAAAATCTTTATGATTAACCTTACTTTTTTTAGAGCAAAGTCAATTCGAAAACACTGGATCACTAAGTATATTTTTATTCGGCTCGGAAATCTAAATAATGAAATCCACATTCTAAGTCATTTGAATTTTGTGTTGTCCGAGAGCGTAAAAATTTTCACTTTTACCAATTAAGTTTGTTTTTGAACTTGAAAAGAAATCAAAAGCCAAACCACGAAAACTCCAAGTTGAGCGCGAGCTTTTAATATTTTTCCTGGCAACTGAAATCAGCGTTATAGAGAAATTAGAAATCGTTGTTATCCTAAAATAGTCAATTGATGACTTCGTGGTTGTGCAATAGGATTTGTAGCAATAACTCTGATTATGTAGCACACGAAAAATATGCATGAAAACGAAAAATTACGGGTTCCCGCAACAGGAAACAACTTAGTTCTACGTCACATGCCAGGAGCTTAAAATGAAGCTCGCCTCAGCAATGACCAGCATCAGTGAATTAAAAACTAATTTAAAAAGTAATTCACTCTCCATTTTATATTAGCGCAGTTTTTTCTCGACGCCGTTTTTCTCTACGGTGATTTTTTGTTCCTTTTTTATGGTGGCTAAAACAGTGATTAAAAGCGTTGTTATATAATGAATCACTCGACTGCATGTGACGTTTATTTTTTGACTGGGCTTTTAGGGAAATTGCTCAACAACTATTGTTCCGATCAAAAATGAAATTCATAGTGCTTTAAAAATTAGGGGTGGCAATTCTATGATAGTTAGCATAAAGAGGGGGATAACGTAAACAAGATCCAAAAAAATTGATTTGCCTCAATTAGCCGTGATGAGAATAATATAAATGAGATGTCAATTATGATCAGATTCAGTATGTATAATGTGTGTTTAATGTAGAATAGTGACCTGCTTGCACAATTCGGTGCTTGTTGGCCTCTGAGGTGGACAGTTTGAAGAGTGCCTGCAGTAGTTCCATCACATCCCACTCCACCACAGGAGAAGCAGGGGAGGGGGAGAGATATGGCACAGAAGGATGCTGCTGTTGCTGTGATCCGTCAAGAAACTGAAGACACACAACACACAGTTATCAATGAACTCTTACAGAGTATCCATCCCAAAGGTTAGTATCCCATTTCAAAGATAGAAAACAAATCCCATTCAAGACGAGAACAGCTTATAAACTGAACCACTGATACTAAAACAGGATTCCAGCGATTTCATCCCATGTGGGAAACACTGAGCGACTAATGTATCCCCAACAGTGAATGACATATTAATGTAGTATACGTGTTTTCTTTCTACGGTAGCTATCTCATGTAAACGCATATGGGCTCTTTAACACCCCCGCCCCACATTTGAATTTCAAATTTTATAAACTATTTAAACATTGTCATAATGCAATGAAATTTTGCATGGTGCACAAACTTACAATTGTGAACAGATTTTGTCTTCATACTTCACATCGTAATATCACGCTTTTAGCCATTGTAGCACATAAAACAACTATAAAAATTGAAAATTTGAAATAAGGGGGGTGGAGAGGAAAAGAGCCCATATGTGGCTACTAGAACGCCAATTAACAACACTCGTCAATCGCCATAACAAAATTTAGGATTTTAATTGAGATTAAAATCCCAGAATGAAAAAGTATCGAAGTCTAAGGCGAATTTATGCACAAAAACAAGCCTTCAGTTTTCCACATGCCTTTTACCATTTCTTCGAGGATGTCTTCTAACTGACTTCCACAAAAACTGAACCAACATTCCGCTTTTCACTCAAATACTGATGGACAAGGCAAGGAAGATGCATGATAATGGTTTGAGTGATAACTGATCTGTTAACAGATGATAGTACAGACCCAGAGAAAAAACTCACCCGTGCTTTTGTTTGGAGCATTCTTAAACACATTCCAATTATTATTTCTGAGATTTATACATATTTCTTACATATTTTTATTACAGTTTTATTGCATCCAAAGTCATTTAAATAGATGTTATCATCAACCAAACTTCAACAAATCAAAGGAAGCAGCCAAATAATTTTTATTTTTCAATTTGTCAAAACGAACTGGCCACATGTTTTCAACTACTAAATTTTTTGAGTTAAATATTTTCTAGCGATATTTAAAAAAGTTGCCATTTTATTTTTGAGTGAAACTTAAAACGGACAAAACAAAAAACATAAACCAAAGTTTAAATACAGTGCTGATTTAAATTAAACGGACAAAATTGTTCTTAAATAATAAGTTGTTAATTTATATAGTAAAAACGACTTTTTTGTCAATCAAACAAAAATAAATTAACTTAAACAATGTTTAGGAGAATATACACTTCTTAAAATTTGTTCGACTACGTAAGGCGCTCTCTTTGATAAAATTATGTCTGTGATCGACTGAGTATAATCGGCGTTATTTTTGATTAACTAAGAAAAACCAAAATGACCAATTTTTGGGGTAAAACTTTTGGCCCGAATTTCAGAAAAAAACAAATTACACCATATTAATTCTACGCAGTTTTTAAGCAAGTTTTGTCTTCATAAGTTTTCAGCTAAATTCAACCCAATTTGAGCCTTCTATTGATGAAAAAATAACAACAGACAGCACATTAAAAGCGACGAAAACTGTACCTTCATCAAAAGATAGAAGAAAAAATGTCAGTTCTGCGGCTATTTTCCTGTAAAATGAGTCTCATTAAGCCAATACGACGACAAGGTTGGTTTTGTATCAAACATAAAAAACCTCGGACCAGACGATTAGGAATCACATTTTGTGTCTTCCACGTAGATTGAGACGTTAACCTTCCAACTCCATTCTTGGTATTGTGATTAGTGACACAGGCAAAGCGGAGCTTCGCACCACTTGCTATACAACACAATCATAAAAAAAAAACAGTGAGCAGCCGTGGTCGAGTGGGTTAGGCACATGTCTCTCAACACGAGGGTCATGCGTTCGAATCCCGCTTCGGTCACGGCTGGAGGGGTCCCAGTGTCATCCGCCTCCTCAAGGTGGGACCGGCTGCGGCGAAATGGATGACATCTCCCCCTCCTCTATGGTTGGTCCTGCACTGAGCAGGCCGGGGGCAAATAAAAAAAAACAAAATAAAATAAAAAAACAGTCGAAAAAAAATAAAAGACTGTTGAAAAAAACTAGGTGAACCAAAATATTCGTCTGTCTCGATGAAAGACACCTAGGGCTCAGCTTAAGCTGGAGGTAAGTATTTAATAATTTTTGAATTTGTTATACTGATGCGGGACAAAATGCGACATTTCCGAGAATCATAACTTTTTACTTTAAAAAATTGAGAGCAGGCGCTTATGCAGAAGAGATTCACCCAATCTGTTCTTTCGATTAAACCCAAAAACCTACGTTTGGCCGGGTAGTTCTCGAGAAAAGTTTTCACAAAACGGTCAAAAATCAAAATTATGACTTTTTCGAGAGCCATAATTTATTTGTTATAAAAAAATTGGTCGCAAAGGAGCTTCGCACAACCCGTTCTTCGGCTTGAACCCAAGATCTCAGATATCGAAAGGTATTCTTTAGTTAAATTCATCAAATTTTGAAGGAAAAAAACGCTCAAAAAATATGAGAGGCACCGCTTATATGCTTATATACAGGGGAGCTTCCCATTACCCGTTATCTCCATTGCACCCACAACCTCAGGTTTGGGATCTTAGTTTTTGAGTAAAATTAGAAAAACATTTCAAAAACGGTCAAAATCAAAAACTTGACTATTCCGAGGAACATAATTTTATGTGCAAAAAAATTGGGCATAACCACTGATTGAGCGGAGTTTTCAACTCCCTTCTATTCATTGAAAATTAAATATCAGATTTGGTTGGTTAGTTTTTGAGGAAACGAAAAAATGAACTGGTGAAATATTCCCTCCACAGACGTTTTCGAAAGCTGTACACAAAGGGGAAAGCAAAAAAAAGACTAGGGGCGTGTGCAGGCACACAAAAATATAGACGGTCTTTCTATATATACCCCTTTTTTGAAATTCAATAGAAAGGTTTTTGGAAAAAAAAAATTTTTTTTTTGCAAAAAGTAAAAATTTCTGAAGGGACTCAAAAAATAAAATAAATAAAAAACTCGTACACTTTTATAATACCTGGTGTATCAAACAGGAATTCAAGGCAAACATGCCCAGCAAAACATTTGAAATCAGATTAGCAACTGGACAAAACTTACGAAGCGGGAACAAGGCCGACACTCTTTGAGCAGACACCAGTAGAGCCGACAAAAACTTACTATGTAAAAAAACTTGAAAAAGTTTCAAGTCCCCCCTGAAACTACCCTGTAGAAACTAGTACTCAGCTAGTAGTTAAATTTGAATTTTCAAGAGTTTGAGCATGTTTGTTGCTGCAGAACTGAATGCTGCAGAAATCATTCAACTGATTTTGTTAAACTAGTTGTTAACGAGAAAAAAAGGCTTTACTCCAGTTTGATAATGCTTGCTTATCGCAAGCGTAAACATAATAGCCGCTCACACAAGCTGCTGATGCTCTTAAACTTTTATTTGGTAGCTTCAGAGTTCAGATGTTTGAATCGTCTGCAGATTTCATTGCTACCAATAAAATATCGGGCTTAAAGCGATAGAAAGTTTAAGACTGTTTGTTTCAAACTCGAGTTGCTTCAAAGATATCAACTTTGATGCATGAAATTCATGATAGGTTGTTTTGGATTCATTTTCTCCCCATCATTTTTGCTCCAATGATTTGCGTCATTTTTGCCATTGCGCTGTTGTGAGTCTGAGAGGCGGGCAACAGCTAACTTGACAACGAAAACCATTAAAATTGCTCATTGTTTTTATGGCGTATTGATTCCAGGCCACATTGGAATATTCGGAAGCCAGTTCTGATCAAAGGCATGCTTAATTGCCAGCATATTTTGGAGTATCAACTTATCCACTAAGTGATTAACCTAAGGAACAATTTTTGAAACAATAAATGCGAGCATTTCATTTCCCTGTGAAGGAAAACATGTACTTATTTATCAGTGCCTTAAGATTGCAGTAGACTTAAGGGTGAGTTAGCAGTATTTAGACAACCGCGTATTCATACACTGTATTAACCAATCAGATTCGAGACAAAGGAAGATATCAAATGCATTTCTTCCTTGTCTCGATTCTGATTGGTTAATACAGTGTCTGAATACGCGGTTGTCTAAATGCAGACCGCACTCCAGACTTAAGGAATGCCTGTTTATTGTGTTGGCGTGTTGTATTCTTACATTGTGCAGCAGTTGAATGACAGAGTGAAGTGCTCCTGCTTCTGCCACTTTATTACATGCATCCTCAGTGCCCACCACACTCAGACACGTCAGACTGGCTATGGCCTGAAACAACACACACTCACACATAGCAAAGAACAAGTCACACAATACACGCCACGACAGATAGACATTGGCAAATGTTCATTTTAATAACCGGCGAAATTAGTGATGTAATGTATTATTTTGCCATTTCTTGTGAGTAGGATTCTCCTTGTTCCGAGAATTTGAGTGAAATTTTGTTTCCAGCTTAAACCTCTGGCATCTAGGCTGATTTTTTAACTTTATTGGTGCATATCTGATAAAAAAAACTAGTTCAACATAGGTTTTCAGAATCTTTATTTTTTTTGCATTTAATGATTGTTGCAACTAAAAAATTAATCCAGATTTTATTCGGGTTTCATGAAAGAAAGAAAGAAAGAAAGAATTTATTTTCTCGATTGGTAAATACATTGACAAAATTAAAGTAATTTATCATTTATATACAATCGAGAGGGACAGCAAACGAGACCATGCGGTCTACCAACAGCTGCCCTTTAGTATAACATCAATAGTAAACAGCAATATGGAAGAAAAATAAATTTGAAAAAAAAGTGAAAGAAAAGAAAAAGAAATTGCGAACATAAAAAAGCCATACTATCTGCATTTTAATGGTGTGTGCGTGTGATCTCTAGTGAGTTATACCTATGACCTGTCTCTCAACCACGAATATTAAAACAATTTTTTTAAAAAATTTTCTAAAAATTTTCTGTTTTTTTCTGAAAATTTTTAGTGAGAAAAAATTCAAAAAATCACAAAAATCGTCATATCTCCTGAACTAAAAGGCTCCAGAGCATCATTTTTTCGTCAAGAATCGCAATATATAGTTGGTGGTCTTGCAGCATTTACCCAAGGTATTCGTAATTAAACATTTTAAAAATTAAATACTAAAGATGTCAGCTCGTTGTTATTTAATAGGTATCCATTTTTTGAATTCATGATAATAACATTTAACTTTTTCAATGTTCGCATTTTCGATATCATTTACAAGTAAAGACATGAAAGCATGTCTTTAAAGTTTAAGTCAAATCTAAACGAAAGTGGTTAATGAAGCATTCAACAATAATTGAATAACGATCTCCGATGTATTCCCACTGCAACACTTTTGACATTTCAAATGTTTTGTAATAAAATAATTGACAAATAACGTGCGAGTCAAGGATTCTGACAAGATTGTTTCAACGGTTTAAAAGTATAAATTTTGGAAGAGGAGATTTTTACGAGTAGAAAAATGTAATAGGGACTGAATAGCTTACAGGACAAACTTTCAAGCTCATTGAAGCTAGGAATGTGCGATGATCTCATCACAAATACTCATATTAACCGATTTTCAACTTCAGTCCACTTCCCATTTTTAAATCACAGAGAATGCCGACTGCCTTCTTTTCCGCTTAAAGATAACCAACTCAATGAGCAGCACTGCTTTTAAGGCTCCCTCAGGCATAAATTTTCCCTTTTGCATTAAATATTAAGTTGAAATTTCAGATACTCAATTTTTCGCGAGGTAGGCCACGTATTATACGGGTTTTATTGGCATCTTGTTGCTGACTAAGTATAACAACCTCCGGTCTACCTCAGACGTTCTCGCTAGCATCTGCCAGGATGCCATGGACGGTCTGCAGAGGAAGAAGCGGACGCTGCTCGTAGCGGTTGACTTCAAAGCCGCGTTTGACAGAGTGTGGCGAGGGGGCTTGCTTAGAGACCTCGCCAAACACGGTCTGTCAGGAAGGTGCCTCAGATGGCTCCACTCGTGGCTTGCGGACCGGAGATCGCTGGTCAAGTGGAACAACAGGACAAGCAGGGTCAAAGTGTTCTCTCAGGGTACCCCTCAGGGTAGCCCCCTTTCCCCTCTTTTGTACTGCATAGCCACGGCTGATCTCCCGAGACGGATCAAAGCGGCAGCGCCTACAGCAGCACCAAGACAGTTTGCAGACGACCTGACGATTGGTGCAGCAGCAGACACTCCCGGCGAAGCGGCAACTGACACACAGATAGCACTGAACGTCATCACCGAATGGGCAGAAGAACACCATGTGATGATTTCAGTCGAGAAGACGGAAGCCGTGGTTGTCTCGCTCGATCCTCGCGAAACAGCTGGCACAGCCCAGCCACCGATAACTTTGCTAGAAATGAAAATCGACTACAAGAAGAAAGTGACGATACTGGGAGTCCAAATCGACTCACAGCTGAGGTTCGGCAACCACGCCCAGAAAGCCCGCAAGAAGCTCCACAAGCGAAACCAGATGATTCAGGCGCTGGCAGGCAGAGACTGGGGGATGAGTGCTACCGACCTCAAAAAACTCTACAGGGCTTATGTCAGACCCGGCGGTTTAGACGAAGCGGAAGTGTGGGGTGCGTTCACAGCAGACTCACACATAGCTCATCTGGAGACCTGCAACAACATGGCAGCCCGGGCCATCACAGGAGCACCGAAAGGCTCTCCAGCCGCCCAAACAAGGGCTGAGATAGCGCTCACGACCATCAGACAAGAAATCGAAGACTCTGCAGCCAAACTGCTTATCAGATGCAGCCAATTCCCAGAAGACCACCACCTACGTTCACTGAGCTAGCCAGGACCACGCCAGAGACTGAAACCAGAGGAGAAGACAACACACGCCAGGACTGGAGATCTACTGCCCGGAGACGCCTAGCAACCATCGAAGAAGGCAGAGACCCGAGAGAGGCCCTGAACATGGACAGAGATGACCGACGCCTAGAAGACTACCTACACCAAGTCCCGGCTCATCACTTCCATCGCAGAGCAACCGGAGGGCAGCCCATGCCGACAGAATGCAGAAGAAGAGAAGAAGAAGTTATCCTGCACAAACTCAGGCTGAATAGGGCGCCATTCCTACAAGCAACAAAACACAGACACGGACAAGTGGATGACCCAAGCTGCCCCTACTGTAATAACGGAGAAGATACAGAACACGTACTCCTACATTGCAGCATCTGGGATTAAGAGCGGAAGGACACACTTGAAGAAAACCCGAAACTAGACGTACTTCAGACAAATACAACCGCCGTCTTGGAATACTTGGGGAGAATTGGGGTTTACCCCCCGTCAGCACTGTAGACGGCCTATAACTAACAACAACAACAACTAAGTATAACATGCGATATAGTTCGCAATCACTTCGGAAAGAAATGCAATGACGCAATAGGACAAGAATACTTCCACGAAAACTTAATGTATGTTAATCCTCACTAAAAACACTTAGGGCGAATGTTCAGCGAAATACTCTATTTCGGATGCATCATACTTTGTTCTGATTTTTGATAATTCTTTTTTCAAATACTAATTTTTGATCTCGTAATAGTTTATCATAAGTATTTAGTAGCTTAGTTATTACTTCACGCCATGCGGATTTTCGAGATAGTAGCTGTACTGTTTTCCACAGCTCTTTAGAGTTTTCTCGGTGGTCGGCGACTTCAGATTTAACTAAGTAAACAGAAAAACTGATTTTTTTTTTTGAAAAAAAAAACTCAACTTTCGAATTTCAAAGAAAACAATAGATGGCTTTAAAGCTCTTGGAATTTCTGGAGAAATTTATTACAGACTCTTTATCGAGAAACTTTGAAACAATTTGAAACATTGAGGCGAAGCTTCCCATCGCAAACACTAGTGAGAAAACGACAAAAAGCAATAAGAAAAAGTAGAAACAAGCCTCGATTAAGTAGAAATTCGGCTACGTCTCGGATTCAATCTGCGACCAAGAGACTATGAGTCTCACGCATTTAACACTCAGCCACGGACGCTTAACAAATCAAAAACACTAGCCACAAATTATGCAGAGAACAGCTGCTTCGAAATTTCCAATGCTACAATCGTGATTATAGCAAAGCGCCACCATAGTGAACTCTTTTTACGAAAAATTTTTTCTGCAAGTTTTCCGCGAGAAAAAAAGACAGTTCGTTCTAATACACTACGCTGCTCGATAGTGTGAAAAGTGGATTAATAGGTAAAATTTTTATTTCGCGGGGAAATTCGATAATTATATTCCACTTTCGAAACTCGAAGGTGATCACGACTTTTACACTTTCGCTATTCGATAGAGGAGTTTGCCTTCCTTTTAGCGAAGGAAATTAAATGCACTTAGAAAAAATCAAAAGCCAATAGTGAAAAATCAAACTAGATTGTAAGCAAACTCCAAAAGTTTTTCCTGAAAAAAAAATCAGTAAATCACGACCTTCACTACATTCACTGACTTCTAAAATGAGCCTCTCGAATTAGTATAACTTTTTATATGTGTCTGATTTCTACCAGCGATCTTGAGATAGGAAGTCCATCGTTCTGGCATCTGAGCCACATGACCTTTGTTCACACAACTTTCTGCATTAAAAAAATGTTGTAACCATTTGTTCACCTGTTCACGCTGACACGTTTTGATGCATTTTAGAACATGAAAAATAACACATGGACTTTCTTATCTGCAATTTCAGAAAAATCAAAGGGGGGAACTATAAAAGAGCCACTGATTTTATTGCGTATAAAATTACGTCTAGGAATAAACTATCAAAACTAAAAATTTTCCATCTTTGTTCATTTCAAATTTAATATAGCTGTATGTCAAAACAGTTTATTTATTTCGCCTTCTGATACCCATATTTAAGTCACAGCATGATTAAGGGACGATAGTACAGTGGTAATGCATACGGCCAAAATACCAGAGTCGCTAGTTTGAGTCCCAGAAAAAAGTTCATTTTTACTTTTTACATTGATTGATTTGAAAGCCTTTAAATAATTCGACTAAAGCTGTTTGAGATTTCTCGTTCAAATTTTTCCAAGGAAATTTTCAGACTGTTTCGTCAACTCAAGGAGTTTTGATTGGAGCAGCTTTACAGACAACTATTTATTGATCGTTCTACAGCCTTGATGACTTTTAATCAGAGTGTAAGCTTAAGGTCAGCAAAATGTACCTGCCTTCATTGTCGATCCTATTTTTGTAAATTTTCTCTAGTTTTCAAAAATTCCCCAACGGGTAAAGTAAGCCTTTCTCTATGTCTCCCTTTATGATCGTTCTGATATGAGTTTTAAACTTTTTTATATAATGGCTGGCGTAGAGGAAAACACTGGTTGGCGCGTTCAGATCCAGATGAGCATCTGGTACATCGAGATGGCCCTCACTAAGATCGGAACACAAAAGTAACAAAAAAGCAAACAGCCCTGCCGAGTCGTCCCATCTTCACTTTGGCCGAGGAATCACATCATCATTACATCGCAGTCGAGGATCATCGTCGCAGATAGCTTGATATTTTAATGATCTATCATCTATCATCATCATCATCATTATCATCAGCATATCCCAGCAATTAAGCTAAATACACTGCTCTGTGGGATGGCAATGTGTGGTTTGTTGTGTTTTGTTACCTGGGCAGTGTGTGAGGGACTGTGTATGGCTGGGAGGAGGAGTGGGATGATGGAGAGGGAGAGAAGGGCTTGTGTGTTGTCCGGATGCAGAGCCAGATTGTACAGGATGGCCAGTTCACTAATCAACTCACTGCTACTCTAAACACACAACATATGCTAGAAGAACAAACCAACTTTAACAGAAGCGAATCACGACAAAAAGCAGCTCTAAAAAAGCAATAAGCCCTTAATACGCGCCTAACACTAGCCACAAATAAGAAGCGAACAGATGCTATGCAGTTTCAAATGCTAGTGAAATTTTGAAACAAGTGAACACTTTCAATTAGGACTTTTATTTGCGAGTTAGGTTCGTAATAACACAATAAGCTGATCGCAAGTGTAATCAACTAAATGGCAAAAGGTTGGCAGTGCAAGGATGTCAACAAGGTTACCTTGTCTGTCAATGAAGTGATTGACTGTGCATATTAGTGCACTCAAACCAGATAGAAAGTGAGTGTGAGTGTGGTTTGTCTTACTGGTTTGTCGCAGTCCACGAATGGCGTCTTCTTCCTGTTCTCCAACTCCACACACTCCAACAACATCTCCCCCAGTCCATGTCTCACTGCCACTACACAACACAACACACACAACACTCAGTCAGCTGAACAGAACAGAGCAATTACTCATCTCATAGTTCAACACATCACAAACACTGCATTGCATGGAAGGCTGGCCGACAGAACAAGACAGGCAAGGAGCTAGTAATTTAAATTTTAAAAAAAACATGCGCAAATTAATTCTGAAGTAGCCGACACAGAGTTGAGCCGAAATGATTCTTACAGATTTGTAAAAATATATATATCAGTAGCGGATTAGGGGGGACTCCCCCACCCTTTCGGGGATTCGACCACCCGACTACCCAAAGGATCCCCCTTTCAGGGGCGGATTTATTGCGGACGCCCCTCCCTCAGGGATTCGACCCCTGCCGACCCAAAGGGTCCCCCCTTTGATACTTTTTCAGAAATCCATTTTTGGCCGACCGACCCTAAAATTTTTCTAAAGGCGCCTTGGGCGCCAATATATACTAACTTTGAGGGGGAGCGCGCGCCAAAAAAAACGCGATTTTTTTGTCAAAATTTTTCAAAAAGTGCCCAAAAACGGCTTTTTTGACTGTTTTTTCAGAAATTTGCCTGCGGCGCAGAAAATTTAGCCAAAATGGGTGCAAAAAAGTGCTTTGGGAGAGCTCCAAAAATCAATTTGGTCGACCTAAAAAAAAAGGTCGTCAAAATTTTCGAATTTTTTTTGAAAATCCGCCCCCGAGAAAATCCTAGATCCGCCCCTGCCCCCTTTGATACTATTTTGAGACGTTCATTTTTGACTGGCTGGCCCTTAAAATTTTCTACAGGCGCCTTTGGCGCCAATATATACTAATTTTAAAGGTGGTGCTCACCAAAAAAACGCAATGTTTTGATCAATACTGTCCAAAAAGTGCCAAAAAATTAAAATTATTTCCTCTTGTTTTTCAAAAACTTGACTTAAGGTGCAAAAACTTTGGCCACAACAAGGTGTTTTAGTGCTTCGGAAGAGCTGGGAAAATTGATTTGGTTGACCTAAAAAATAAAAGGTCGACATTTTCAAACCTTTTTGAAAATCCGCCCCTTCCCTCCCACCCTCAAGAAAATCATAGATCTACCCATATCTCTCAACATGTTTTGATGCAACATTTTAGCTATTCAAGTTAATTTAGTTATTTAAGTTTTAAAGTTGTTTGGGTACACCTTGAGCGTTATTAGTGCGATATGAAGTGAAGATATTCAGAATATCTACCAGCAAGTACAAATTAGAGAGGACAGACTGAGGGCATCCTATGTGCCCACTCAGTGTCTACCCTTATAAAGGTTATTAACTTACTCAAGCAAAAAGTATATTTGATATAGTAACAAGATCTCTAGTTTAAGGGAAAAAGCATTAACGACAGAGACTGACAAAATAGTCTACTAGATCTTCTAATTTTGTAAACAAAATTTTGAAATAGTAAAAATATCATTTAAAATACTTGTAGAATGAAGGCTGTTGATTGAGCGCATAGAGAAAGTCAACAGATCATAGAAATAAAGTTGATCAGCCAAGTTCAGTTTCTTATCGAAAATAACACCTAGGTATTTACACAAATTTATCGGAGAAAAATTACACTCGTTTGAAGCATTTTTATTCTTACCAAAGCTAACAATAGTGGTTTTATCTATAGTTAGAGTTACTTTTTGAGTTGTACCCAAAATAATATCTCTTAAACCAAGTTGGAAAAATGTCAATTTGAGTTGCTTGACACAAAATTTATGTCATCGGCAAAAAGAAATCTAAGGGAAAAGACAAGGAACAAAAACACGTTTGAGCGACAGGATCTTTTACATTAGACTCGCAACCTACAACAGTACTCAGATTAGCAATTAATCAAAGAGTCTTTGAACATTAAATTAAAAAAAGTTTTTCAGTTCTGCATAAAGGAGAAAAAATAATCAGAAAACATTTTTGAATTTTTGAAAGTGAATTTTTTCAAAATAGCCCTGATTTCCACGGTAAAATAGAAACATATGGCTTCTTCCAACGTTTGAACGTAACTTTCAAAGGGATACCATAGACAAAATACAATAGTAAACCAGTTACTTATCTTTTAATTTATGCACAAAACAATCAATTCAAATTTCGACATATTTCCTATATTAGAAGGCATCAAAATAATTCAACTTAAATATTCAGTAACAGTGCTTCTATATCACAACAAGTGTGATTTCTGATTTTTCAGACAAACAGGTCTATTGTATACTAAATTTTTAGATCTTCTAGCTTCAAATCAATTTAAAAATTTAATGAATCAAGGCTACTTATCGAACGCATATAGAATTTTAAAAAGTACTAAAAAGTACTAGTTTATTGAGTTGTAACCAAAGACTGATACTTGTTAAAATAACTTAGAAAACTGTCAATTTTGCGTTGCTTGGCACAATATTTGTATCATCTACAAAAAGAAATACGTTCAATCTTTGCGCCGCTTTAGGCATATCATTAATGTATGTGAGGAAAAGATAGAACCAAGGATCGATCCCTGCGGAACACGTACATTCACTGATTTCCATTCAGAAACAACAGAATTGAGAACAACACATCGATATCTGTCCGTTAGCTAGCTTTCAAACCATTGATGGGCAAACCTCTGATGTCATATAAATCAAGTTTTTCTAGAAGCAGCTTGTGATCAAGCGTATCAAATGCTTTCTTGAGATCAAAGAAAAAGCTACACCGTATACCTTAGTTTGTATTAAACCTTAACTTTTCTATCATTTCAGCAAAAGCACCTATTGTTGCAAGTTTCTGTCGAAAGGCATACTGCTTATCATAAAACAGATTAGATTTTTCAAAATACTCATAATATCGAGCGTATATAGCTCTTTCAAAGACTTTGTTTTAACTATGTAGATGTGATATAGGTCTATAATTTTTTCATGTGTAATTTGCTACCAGATTTATAAAGCGGAGAAACTATTGATTTTTTCAGCAGCTTGGAAAACTTTTCAGATTCAAAAGATAGGTTTATCCAAAAAGGTAAGGTAGGGAGCTTCTATGTATAAGTTCTTAATCAAAAACAAATTACCTACCCGATCAACTCCTGTAGAACGTTTCGCTATCAAACTAATTAAGATCTCAACAATTTCATGAAAAGTACATCTGAATAGGTAAAATGAATACTCTACAGTCTCAATTGATGCTTGATTCAGTGCTCGGTGTAGCACTAGCAAGATTTTGATCAATTGTAGAGAACCACATTTGAGAAGAGGAAGAGAAGAGAAAAGTGTTGTCTCACTTTTGGCGAAGTGGGCATGTTGGGTGAGAGCCCAGATGCTCCTGTGCAGATGTGCATTCACACCCAACAGTGCCTGACTCACAGCTCCCCCTCCCCCTCCGCCAGGTGCAGTTGCTGTAGCATTAGTTGCAGCTGTCCCTGTTCGCCCCCCTCCACCCCCCAATGAGGAAGAGGAGGAGGAAGTGTCTGTGGAGCCCCTAGCGTACTGCAATGTCCTCTGCAGACTCGTGATCAGAGTAGACAGTCCCTTCTTCTCCCACATCTTCTCAACCACCACTGGCTCCTACACAACAGACACACACACTACACACACACACTCAATGGCAATGCAGTCTGTGAAATAACTCTTCTGTTGCGCTGCCCTCTAACATTGATATGCCCACATCCCATTTCGGCTGTTTTCCGCTCCTGATTTCTCCCATTACAAAAACCTTCTCTAATCGGAACTTTGCTTTTTGTACACACGGAAGAGTGAATGAAAGGAGAATGATGATTGTGCGCTGAAATTGTTGAAGAGAAAAAAATTCTCTTCAACTTTCGTTCACAAGTTCGTAGATGAAGGCCAAATGTGGTTGCAATTGCATACCAAAATTGGAAACAATCGGTTCATAACTTTGACATAACTTGCATTTGAAAAATGGCCAGGGAGGGAGGGACAGAGGTGTGTGTGGATGTGACTTACCTCCAGATTGAGGGCGATGGCTCTGGCTGCATTCTGTGTGTCGTGCTGCTGGAGGAGGTGTTTGTTGGTGGCGTTGGAGAGGACAGACAGGGCAGCCACCACCACCTCCTCCCTCTCCCGCTTGTCCTTCTGCTCCAGTCTCCAGGAGGAGGAAGACAAAGACTTGGAAGTGCCCCCACCTACACACCACAACAGTAGGTAATAATGTACTTTCTCACTTAAGATCTTGAGTTAGGACCGATGGGTATAACTCATAGAGTAATTTCGGATAGGGTACACCGTCTGCTCGTCACGCTATCTTATTTTCGGCCGGATAGATTCGTGCAACTTCTTAGTCTAATACCGATCCTAATCTTACTCTTATACTATCTAGTCTCAGGTTGTTTAACTAGTCTCTGCTAGGCTCAATAGATCTAGGGTATACTGGTTTATTGCGGCTGCTGAAGTACTCGGGAGAGTTCAACTAATTTCTAAGTTAAATTCAAATCTCTCTGGTGCTGAAATTACAAGTAATTTCAGCACTTACAAATAAGTGGGTTGTTAGTTAGATGGATCATGATTGGTTAATATTAAATACTTTACATTGGTAAAATATCTAATTTATCCAATCATAAAATGTAGTTTAGATCAGGTTCCACCCATCCGGGTTTTACAGAGTTTTTTAGAATAGTTTTTCTGCAATTCGAAAGATGGATGATGGACGTTGGTATTTGGCGAACATCTTATTTCTTCTGGGTTTTCTTATTAGAGAAGTCCCAGATTCAATCATTGTGTCTTCTCAAGACAACGACTGGGTTTTCGCAACAAACTCAAATCTGATTTCAGAATGGTTGGCTATGTCAGGTTTTTCTGTTTCATTGGTGAGAACTTCTTTGTGTTTGACCTTGTCTGGGAATGGCGTGGAGATTGTGCGTGGAGGGGATGCCTGGTTACTCGGATCTGTACGTATACTTGAACATCGAGGTGGTCATTGGTCTAGTTCAATGAAGTCCTTTTCTGCGAAGTCAAGTCGTACTCTAAATCCTTTGAGTTGTGATTGTGGGCGGCATATTGATTGTAGTTGGCCATTCTTTCTCGAGTGTAGTAGGGTCGTTTTGTCTTTGGATGTTCGTCCTTGGTGTTGTATTCTGATCTATGTATTGCATAATGTAATTTACATTTTATAAAACTTTTATTAGTTTAATATTTTTTAATTATGATTTTAGTTAGTTGTTTTCACAAAAGCTTTTTGTTTTAGTTCAGTTATTTTGAAGAGTTACTCACCCTTGAGTAGCTCTTATTAAAAATAGGAGTGTGGTCACAAAGCGTGGATGTAGCACGGTGGGTTAGGCCGGCTATAGAGCATGCTCAGGACGTCCTTCCTGGTGGGTTAGGCCAGGAGTGGGAGTATGATTGCATGCGGTTTTTGTGAGAGGTCCTGTTATATGACAACGTTTTATGTTGGGTTTGTTGTGGTTTTTCTTATGTTTTGTTGGTTGTGTCCTTTTTTCAAAAATCAAATTGTTTGTGGTATGGGTTTGTCTTTCGACTTTTTTGTGTTTTATTATTTCTTTCTTAGACTTTATAATAGTCTTCAAAAGAATAAATTATCCAGTTTTAAACTGGGTTAATCCGGTTTGGGTACCGTTGGTTTCCTTTTCTTAGTCATGCTGTTATGCTATGTGTTGTGGTGTTTAGTAAGCTGCATTGGTTAGTTTTGTTTAGTATATAATTCCTTTCCAACCGGGTTAAAGGAAAGTTTGAAACATGTTATCTTGTGTTAGAGTTATCGAGTGTGAAAGCTTGGAACTGAAATTCATTATTTTAAACAATTCTTCGTGGGCGAGCTGTGCGAGTTTGGATAGAATTTTTATGCGAGTGAATGAAAATATCAAAAGGTTAGTACTGCATTTGCTTCTTATGAATTTACTACATAGAATTTTAATTTTACTGCTAGTTGTTGGGGGAAATTAAGTTACAAATTTTCATCATTATTAGATTTACTGCTGGTGGGGGAAAAATTTATAAATTAATTTACTGCATTGGTATTATATTTATTTAATTGTTGGTGCAAAAATTTAATAGGGTCTTAAACAGTTTTGAAGAAGTTTGCTATTTTTTTTATTTTTCTTTTGTGAATTTTTCAGATGATCTAGGATGAAGGCTTAAATTCTAAAGAAAACATGGATAAAGAATGGTGAGTTTCTAATATTTGAATTAATTAGTAATATGTATAATTCATACTTACCTGTTAGTCGTCGGGGAAGAAACCGTGGGGGAAAATGTCGTGGATGAGATCTGAAGTTGTTAGTAGTTTGGCTAAGATGCGGATGATATTTTTAGTTTGAAGCAGTGGCCAAAGCAATTGAAGTGCCTTAATGGTGGTTAGTTCTTCAGTGCCAACTGCAAATTCATAAGGTGTGTTTTGGATTAGATTATATAATTTGTGGTTGAATTTAGTGTTATGGATGAATTCTAAAATGGGGATTTCTATAGGTTGTACAAACTCGTGTGGGATGAGGAAGGGTCGGGATTCTTCTGCGTTGAAGGTCTTGGTGATGGGACAAAAGATATACATTTGGGTTATGGGATCATAATTTCGAAGAATACCATGAAGGTTAGTATCTTTAATGCAATATGTGAAGTTAAGAAAGAATGGTGAGGTGTATTTGGAATTGATGAATTGAAAACGATGGTGTGGTTGTCTGGAGGGAGTGTGTAGGTCAAAGTGATTTTGGATGAAACGATAATAAGTATATGTGTGTGTTTGTTTAGTGCGCAACATAATATCGTGTGAGCAGTGCAAATCTCTTTCATGTGGTGCAAGGAAACGAAAGGTTAGTGAAAATATTTGGAAGCGTTCTTTAAAACTTTCGTAGGCTTGCGTGTCTGTTAGTGCTTCTGAGATAATGTGGTCAAACTTGCGATCGAAGATATTTAGTGTAAATACATATGGTGTTTTAATGAAAAATTTCTCGGTGATTTGTGGGTTAGCGAAGCGATCGTCGTCTAAGAATTGATCTTGGTTAGTTCTGATGATGTTATGATCGTAATATTCTAGTGTATATTCATTAGCTCGGGGTGCAGTGTGTGTTTTTAGTGATTTTTTGTATCCAATGTAAGTAAATTGTCTAGGTGTTAGTGGTGTAGTGAGTCGATATAGCATGTCCTTATTTCGTTCTATATCGATATGAGTGTTAGATAAAGGTAAGCAAAGGGGATTTGTAAAATGATAATATGAGGTCCAAGGAAGGGTAGGCATTAAAACGTATTCGTCTACAAAGTTACGTGTCTCGTTAGTGTCATGAGGGGTGTTTAAGGTGTATTGTGGAAATGAGGGTAAGGTGATAGCTAAAAATTCTGTTGTGTTAGTGTGTTGTGGATGGTTGATATATTCACGGGCTGTTCCTGGTTTCGCTGGGAAAGGATGGTTGGGGAACTTCCTTTTAAAAGTGCGGTAAGCTCTATTAGTGCTGAGTGAAGATACAGTAGTTGTGGATGATGGTGCTAATGAATCAGTATAAATTGAAGAGGGTGTAGGGGTAGGAGGGTTGGATAAATCTATTGTGGATGAGATTTGGTTTATGGTTGGGGTGTCAAGGTGATAGGATTGTTGTTGTAGGGTAATGAAATTATCTAGTTCTGGGGAGATTCGGGGGGTGTCTGAAGAATGAGATGATTGGTTTGAGTGAAGTGAGGAGTAGGTTGGAGTGACTTGGGAAGCATAAGAGGGTGTAGAATTGGTTGGGTCAGGGTTATTTGGTAGTATGGGTTGAAAAGGGGGTTGGGAAAAATTTAAAGGATTGGTGTGAAAATTATTTGATGGAGATGGTTCAGAGTCGGCAAATTCATCGGGGGTTTCAATATTCGGGTTATTGAGTTGTGAGATGGAGTATAAAACTGAGATGTGTGAATAAGTATCGGAATTCATGCCGGATGTTACATTACTGGATGGGAAATCGGGTGGCGGAAAAGCAAAAAGTGGTATTATTGGGATTGGAGTGGTGAGGTTGGTTGGGTGGGAATTTGATCGGTGTAGGGATCCAAGTTGTCGGCTCATCGTGGGCTAAAAAAATTATTATTTTGAGACTGAAAAGCGGTGGTATGGGGTTGTTCTATAATTTGTTCATAAGTATTTTCATCTTGTGAGTGGTGTGGCATTATATGTTGGATGGGACTTTGTGATATGGTTGGTCTAAAATTATTATGTGTTATGGCTAAATTTCGAAAATTACGTGGGACTAGGGATAATGGATGGTTATGTGGTAGGGGTGGTAACTGTGGTGCTGTTGGTGTTGTGTCTGCATTGTTATGTTCTTCGTCGTATGTGTTCTGTCTTGTTGCTATTTTTGTGTTATATTCTTTTATTTGTGCGTCTAAAAGAATTTTGTTTATAGATGTAGAAAATATTCCAAAAAATCCTGCAAATAGTATGCGTGCTACACTTGCTTGTCTATTGACTTTTGTGTGTATAGCACATGTGTTATAGATTCCTTTTAAGAGTGAAAAAAGAAATCCAATAAAGTTAAACATTGCGTATAAAATAGTTAGTTTTTCTAAGATGTAGTAGGGCCATCCTAGAAAATCAAGAATTTCATTCTTGAGTGTAACAAAACTAAAAATATTGATAGGTGATATATCTTGGGGACGGTACTTTTCACCGTTTAGATATATATAATCTTTAATGTCTTTAAAATATCCGCTATAGTCTTGCGTATAGATGTCTGCAAATCCTGCAGTTTCGGCAAGTTTGCGTAAGTTTTGGTCAATTGATTGTCTTTGTATTGTGTCCATTTGTGTTAATAATTCCTGGAATTGTTGTGTTCTAATGTGATGTTGAATATCTGATTTTGAGTATATTCCTATTGATTGTAAGTCTATATTTGGGTTTTGAGCGATAGCGCGAATGCTTTCTGGTGAAATTTTTTTGAGTGATTGCATTAATGTGGGATATGGGGTGAGAAGGTAATATTTATCTTCATCAGGGTTTAGTTGTACTACGTTGTGGCTATTTTCTGATCCACATGGAACTGCGGTATCCCAGAAATAGGTTCTTCGTGAAAGTGTGTCAACGAAATGTACTTTATTCTTATAAAAGATAGGGATTCTTTTATAACATCGTTTATCTTCAAAAACGTATAGTGGTGATACTTTTTTAGTACAAGTATAAAACCATAAGATGTTTCCTTCATAGTCTAAA